TTTTACTATGCAAGTGATTACCAACCTTAAAAAATATGAAAATAAACAATTTCCATTTGGAATGTTGTAAAACTAGAGCAAATTCATGGAAGCCTTATAAAGCCATTGTGCCTGCTTTTTATTAACCATTTTATTCACGATATGTTAAAAACTTGTTGACAAAACCATTCTTTACTATGTGTTTGCTCCTTCCAAGCTGGTCATATTGGACATTAGTTGTTCCTGTCTGACCCAAGTTCATAGATCATCACCATTGGCAATCCCATTGGGGATGACTAGGATGGATTAGATAGAAATGCATCGTAGCTGTGGTTGGTACTGAAAGTTCCATGACTGACAGGGAGTACAAGGTAGCTTCCAAAGTAAACAGCCAAACTTTAGAACTCTGGGTTCAAATGAAGTCTTGTAGGGGCCTGGATTATAGAACTGATTGGAGCAGAAATCCATTGCTAAACTGGGTGGACTAGAACTTAGCCTCATTGCTTTGCTTCACATGCTTAAACACTGCCAAGGAGCATAGCCCAGGCCTACTAGGGTAGTTTTTCACCCACATATTGGGAAGTAGACCCTCCCAAAAAAGAAGAAACTTAAATCAGGCCCTTATACCTTGTAACCAATACCCACATAGAAAGCTTCAGATCAGAAAGTTGAATATGGTTTCACAACTGTTGCTCCAGGCAATACTTGGCTTTCACAACCTCTGACCTTCACCAAAAATCTTGTTTTGGTTGCTGGCACCTGCTTATTTGCCTTCCTTTTATCCTGCTGCTCTTACAGCCTGGCTCCCTCTGTAGACAATTTGTAAACACACCCATTCTTAAGGATTCACAGCAGTTACTGTGAAAGGCTCATGAGAGAAATCAGTGGAAAAGTAGGGAGGGAGCCCTTCCTAGGAGAAGGCTTTGTGAACTGCGGCCAGGAGCTGTCATGCTCGCTACAGGAAGACACCCAGCTCGCATCCAGTGCCCTGAAGTCTATTCCTCCTGATGGAGTCCATCACCTCAGTAAACAGCATGCCTGATTAAAAGGCTGGTAGTGAAAACAAACAAACAAAACAACTGAAGATGCTTGGCTTGGGCCTTCCATTTCTAGTGAGGGGAGCTAGCCCTTCCATAGCCATGTGACCTGTATGTCTGTAATCTAAAGGTTACGGTCAGCAAATCTCCAAAAACGTTTACTTTCTCCAAGGCTATGCTTTGTGTTTCTGTAGACATGTATGGCGTCTTTCAGATTCACATCTGAATATTTTTTCTCAGGTATTAAGTCTATGTGCTAATTTGTAGCATCTATACTTAAATCATATTTTCAGTTTATATGTTAGGTTCTGACGTCCTTGGGTCTAATACAGTGTGCTGATGGTAGAGAATGAACTATTCTGAGTTCTACTTCTATAACAAGATGAGTCAGAAAGGTCATGTAATGAACGAAACAAAGTGTAGTTTCTACCTGTTGATGACAGGTCCCTGCATTAATTCTGCATGTGCATCCATCTTGGATAGTGATGTAAGGGTGATAGTACACCACCCTATCCTCATAACATCATTTTGCCTCTGATCAGTAATGTCATTTGGCAGTAAGAGCCAGGAAGCTCAGGCTGGAGTAGTACTTGGTCAGTAGTAACAAGAAAGTTCGGCTTTACAGAGGATGGTCTGGGAAGGCTCATGGGGAAGTTTCACTGTATAGGCCTGGCTTGCTTCACACTCACAATTTGGCGGCCTTCACAAGCAGGTGTCACCATGTTCAGATTAATAATTTTTAATTTATAAAACAGTAGCTGAAATAAGTTTTTATTCAACTTCTTTGGCATATCCTAGTTAAATTAAGATTGCATATATAAATAGTAAAATAAAAATATTTTAAAGTTCTTAGAAAAGCTTTGTAAGCATCTATTTAGAACCTGTTCTTTTTAATATATTGTCTGCACATATTCACAGTTACTCCAAGAACGACTTAAGGGACTTTAAAACACTTCTCTGTTCCCATTCAGTTCTTACATAATCTAGAAATTGTGCCTGTTTCCTTAAGATACAACTTGGTTTTTTTTTTCTGGAAATATTGGCAGATTCATTTACAAATGTATAGACAAACAAGAAAGGAATCTAAAATCTTACCCGTAGACTTCCATTCAGATAAGAAAGTAAATGGCCTTGACCTTTGTTTCTATTTTTAATCAAGAAGACTCTTGACTTCCGAGGCCCAGGAATGATCAGTGTCCTCCCACAGGAAGCTGGGCTCAGTGATTTCTTATAGAAAAATTTCATACAAATAATTCTGGTTCCTTAAAAGCAAAGTTATGTTTTTGTTTTTTTGTTTTGTTTCCTGCAGATTTCACTCCTTTTTGCTCTTCATGGGCCACCCCCCTTATGCAATTCGAGAGGTGAACATCAACAAGTTCTGCAGGATCATCAGTGAGTTTGCACTAGAGTATCGCACGACCAGGGAAAGGGTCCTGCAGCAGAGACAGAAGCGGGCCAACCACAGAGAGAGAAATAAGACGAGAGGAAAGATGATCACCGACGTAAGTCCCGCGAACTCACTTGCTTCACGTCACAGCTTTTCAAAATAACAGACCATAAGTAGTTCCCCTACTTTGGAGGGATGTGTTATTTTCTTACTGATTTTGGTCAAAGACGTTTCCTTGACAGGCAGTGGTGGCCCATGCCTTTAATAGCAGCACTCAGGAGGCAGAGGCAGGTGGATCTCTGTGAGTTCGAGACCAGCCTGGTCTACAAGAGCTAGTTCCAGGACAGGCTCCAAAGCTACACAGGGATACCCTGTCTTGGAAAACCAAACAATAACAAAAAATTTCTTCTTTTCTAAAGTTCTCTCAAACCACTCTTCCTCCAAGTCTATGGAAATCTGCCATGTAACTCAGGAGTACCAGGACAGTGAAAATTAAGGTTGTGTGCCTGGAGGGGGAATGTGTATCGTAGCCTGTTGGTGTTATTGGATACTGATGACAAATGACATCTGATGAAGTGGAGGGGGGTATCAAGTGATGCCACCAAGCATAGGAAGGCAGATTTATTAATTTGACATTAGTTCAGAATTTTCATTCCTGTAACAGTGTCATGTATCAATCAGCCACTTGGGCCACTCAGTTTGAGAATGTGAATTGACAAACTGTTATCACTGCTCCAGGACATAATCTTGTGGTCACATGATTTGGGTCACATACAGATTAGGGCTGGAAGAGATCCCGGAGGACATTAAGTCTGGCAGAAGTTTCTCCATAGCACCTGGGGTTGTCCTTGGCGCTTTCCTGTCTTATTGCTGGGTTTTTATTTCCCACCTCAGCCCTGAGCCTACCTGTGACTCCGGAGCATAGCATACAGCCAGGGAAAGGAACAGAAGCAGGCGACAGGCTAGCTGCAGATGCTGTATAGATGGGGCATGCTCCATGAGTGGAGCTGAAAGGGTGCAGGGCAGTGCTGCAGACTGACAAAGGCCAGTGCCCGGCCCCTTTCCATGTGGTATCTCATGCATTAGTACCAGTACGCTATAGGTTTTGCTTTAGAAAAAAGAAAAAAAATGAAGAATTCTTGGAATTCTTCCTTTCAGAGAATCATATATATGCCTTTTATATTCTTTTTTAAAATTAAATTAGAAACAAGCTTTTTTTTGTTTACATGTCATTCCCATTTCCCTCTCCCTCCCCTCCTCCCCTGCCCCTCACCAACCCCCTATCCCATCCCCTTTCTGCTTCCCAGGGAGTTCGAGGCTTTTCTTGGGGGATCTTCAAAGTCTATCATATCATTTGGAGCAGGGCTAGGTCCTCCCCCATGTGTCTAGGTTGAGGGAGTATCCCTGTATGTGGAATGGGCTCCCAAAGTCCATTCGTATACTAGGGATAAATACTGATCCACTATCAGAGGCCCCATAGACTGCCCAGTCCTCCCACGTTGAAGGGGTCTGGGTCAGTCCTATGCTGGTTTCCCAGCTATCAGTCTACCATACATGTCCTTCCCCTATAATGAGATTGATGACTACCTTATATGCCATCCTAGAGCCTTCATCTAGTAGCTAACGGAAGCAGGAGCAGACACCCACTGTTAACACTGACCTGAACTCCTGGAATCCAGTTGCAGAGAGGAAGGAGTGATGAGCAAAGGGGTCAAGACCAGGCTGGAGAAACCCACAGACAGCTGACCTGAACAAGGGGGTGCTCATGGGGATCCTCCTTTTCTCACTGCTTGTTTGTATTTGAATAGGCTTGTAGAGAATAGGGAATTGGAACTGCTAGACCATATTTGGAAGCTATTGAAGAGCTCTTCAAGGTGATTTTTTTTTCTTGGTACCCATGAACTTTTCCCACCTGTGCAAACACTTGGCATCCCTGGGCTTCCCAGGAAGGGGAATGGAAGGAGTAAAGAGTTAAGCCATCAAGACTGCCATCACTCCAGGAATTTAAGCCTCAGCTGGACTCAAGTCAGGCAGATGTCTCTGCAGAAGAAAGAAATCAATTAAGACCTTATGGAGGTGGCCATCTATGGCCAGGGGAGTGTTTGTGGTGCAAGCAAAACAGGGATGTGGTTACTGCTAAGAGTAAGCATTCCTGAGGCAGGCCTCCGACTTCCTGTGGGTGCCCAATGCACTGCCTACAAGATGGTTTGTACTTAAAAGGAAATTCTAAGAAGAGCCAGAGACTATCAGTCCCCTTATCATCCACCTCTTCCAAACCTCCGTCCTTGGACACTCTGACTCTAGAGGGCATGGTACCAGTTTCTCTCAGAAGAAGCTCATTCTGCAGCCCTTCCCAGCACTGACTGTTAGTGCCATCAGCCAGGCTCTTCTGTCTCCTAAAATCTGGCTCCTTGGGAGCTTTGAGCTCCTGGGGTTTTCAGAAAGCAAATTGGACCCACTTGGGCAAACTATGACCTACATTTCATTCCAATGTGTTATTTTTAAAAGTCTTAAAAAGGGATCATTTATTTTTGTGAAAATTAGACATATTGTAAGGCAAACAACACAAGTCCAATATGCTTATAGTTAGGAAAACACACTAAAATTTCTTGCCAAATTCCTGAGAATTTTTTTTTTAACAGACCCTACTAAATTTTAAATTTGTCCTTCTTTGAGAACATTCGGCTCTCTGAGAGGCAGAAATATCTAGAGTGTGATTCAAAAGTATTTAAATTTTTATTAAAATCTGGACAGTACAGATTCCTTCAAAGTTAGCTTTGACTTGGTCCATATTAGTTGAGGTCAAGGTGATATTTGTGTGGAAAGCCTGCCACCTTCTGGAGTATTAGAATATTGTTACCGAGGCCAAACACATTTGCCCAACTCTGAGATAGAAAGTTTTGCTATGTTCCCAGTGCTAATGTGCCTGGACTGATGTGTGTTCCATGAGAGGCAAGATCATCCCCCAGGAATTATACAATCTGATTAAAAATGACATACACATTTTTAAATGATTAAAAATGACATACACACCACCGAAACCAAAGCCACAGAGTAGATGCAGAGATTGTGGAGCCCTGACCATTTTAGAGAATGCTGGTAGAGACACTTTTAATGTAGATACAAAATAAATAGGATCATGTGGTGGTCCCTCAAAGTGAGACATCTGGAGGAGGAGCTCTGGCGACTGCCTTCCCTGGTCTGTGAGGCTGAACTTCCTCCACCTTCCTGCCTTCGGAGCATGCAATGGGCCTCTATTCCACCACCCATGGGGTCCTTCCATGAATGGCTTAGTGTGGACCTCGTTCTTCATCTTCTGTCCTAACCTGATTCTAGATCACTAGTGACCATCAGAGGGGAACCCCAAAGTTGTCCAGGAAGGGAAGCGAACCACAAAGAGATGAGAATGATTTAGACTGACTTTGTCAACCTGGGTCAAGACTTCAGGGAGTCTGAAAGCATTGCAGTTCATTCCCAACAAATTTGAGCATGATATAATTCAGAAAAAAAAGTTTCCTGGTGTAAATACAATCTATAGTGCACAGGATAGTATATTTACATTGAAACCTGACTCAGGTACATGTCATTTCCTCCAATAAGATGAGTCCTAGAGATAGGCTACCTGTGCTAGTTTTAGGGCTAGGAAAGGTTCTGTCATGGTCTTTGGCATACATATTTTGTGTAGAGGTCATTTGGGCTACTAGCCACCCTTGGGAGAGCCTCTGGCTATACAGCTAATATAAGGGTCATTTAGACTGGTTGTGGAAGCCTGGAGAGCCCCTAGCTGTAAGGGTCATTTAAATTACTAGCCACCTGTTGTCCTGGTTGTAGAAGCTTGAGACCCAACAGATAACACAGATCACTAGGCTCCTAATCACTTCTAATTCCCAGCTTTCTGGGTGGAGGAACAGGGTTTTTTTGTTTGTTTGTTTGTTTGTTTTTTGGGTTTTTTTGTTTTGTTTTTTAATCTATCCCATTGGAAAGACAATCCTGTATGCTTAACATTCCTGGTTTCTCTGGAGTTCTGTGGGTGCAAGGATCTTCATGCTGTGTGCTCAACAATCATCATAAACCAAATGGCTTGTGGGAACTTAGATTATCAAGTCACAGGACTTCCTTGCAGAGGGAAGAGGGGCCCTAGTGTGAGACCCTTCATCTTTAAACCCTTACTTCCTCTCCTATAGAAAGGGATCGATGACACTTTGAGAGCTTGAGAAGGCTGGAGATTGAAAACATAGAATTTTGTATAGCAGCATATGCCTGCTGAAAAAAAAAATGCCAGTCATCCTGGCTACACTGATATTCCACTCAACAAGAAGGATGGTAGAGAGGACGTCTCTCTTGCCATTAGAGTGGAGTACTTAGTTATCTTACATTCCAAAAGTACAGTCAGTTCTCAAAAAGTCATGCCTTGCTTGTTGGTCTAGCCTCTAACCTCTGTGGAAATACTTAGGTATACTGGATTTAAATCAAGATATTGGCATGGTTTTTCATACTCACTTTGTATTTAGAAAAGGGGTCTTCAAAATGTATCTACTGATAAACTGTTTACTGAGAATACTATCATTTCCGGTGGCTTCCCTGAGGACTGGAACAATTCTACAGCTTAATTTCATGTGTTTGAGGCAAGGCTAGTATGGTATTTTGTGCTTGGAAACTTTCATGTGTCCTGTGTGGCCTGTATGTAGTAGGATACACTGTAGCCTAGCCCCTGCAGAGTAGGCAGGGAAGAGTCTAGAACTTAGGATAAAAGGAAAAGGTTGCTGATGGGCACAGCCAGTTGAATGAAGACTGGTTCATTTACTAAAGCCTGGAAAGTCAGTGGGTGATGGTGGGCCCAATAGGTGGTGGTGGGCCTGGCAGACGAAGTGTATGGAGGGTGTAGAAGATAAGGATAGTAGTGATCAGGGAAGCCATGGGTGTCCTTGGGAGGTTGATCACCTAAAGCCCTTCAAGTACTCCCTGCCTCCTCTCAGTGTGATCTTGGAGTACACAGAACAAGCCACCCAGTAAGAACAGGGAGAGCCTGGCACCTTCTGACTGAAGACAGCGTGTTCTGCTGATAGTGACTGATTTCTGTTTTGGGAATGTGATCTGTTGTTGAGACTATCTCCTCTTTGCTGACTTCTGAGCCTTCTAAGAATCCTTCTGTCTTTTCCATCTTGTCCCGTTCTGTCCTTTCTGGTAGACTGATGACGAGGATGACATTGAGGTATGACAATTCACGAATGTGAAGAATCCCATCTTTGCCCTTCTCCTGTGTGCTGTAGAGTAACCTAACATAGTCAGCATGAAGTGTCAGCATCACTTAGCACTGGAAACTGTGCATGGACATTTTCTGATTGGTTTCCATGTGATCACTAACCATCTGATCAGTTCTTGTCATGCTGTTTGTGTCAGAGAGTGAGGAGCTAATTGCATTTTCCTATGTCCCGAAGCCAAGACTAATCAGTTTCCTGATACTAAGAGCAGGTCCGGTGTGTCTTTTCCCTGAGGCTGGAAAACTGGACAAAGAGCTTCCCTCCCAGTCACTTTCTGTGCTTTTTACAACCCAAGCATGAGAACTAGATTCTAGCTTAGCTGTGTATGTGCTGAGCACAGTGGTGCATGTCTGTAACCACAGCACTTGAGAAGCCGAGGCAGGAGAATGATGAGTTTCAGAGCAGACTAAGAGACATGATAAGGACTTTTATTTTTTTAATCAAACAAAACGACATAAGGAGCAAAACAAAGTAGAATCAGGCTGGGGATGGGACTCAGTGGCTCTGGGTTTGATCCACAGCATCAAAAACCAAACCAAACCAGAGTCAATATATAGAGCAGCCTAGAGTCGGGAAGAAAGGAAGCAGTGACGGCTGATCCTGGGGACTGAGGAAGGACAACATACATCACAGATTTATCACAAGTCTGTAGCAATGGCTGAGAAGCAAAACCTTGGTTGGGGCTGATCTTGGTCCATGTTCAATATCATGCGGTCCATGTTCACCACCTCGTTCTTCTCTCAGATGTAAGCATCGTGTGCAAATAGAACTCAATATAGACTTCTAGAACATGTCTTGAAAACGTGTGTTTTTAATGCTTGTTACAGCGAGCACCTGCATTTTTGACAAAACTAAAAGTACTGCTGAATTCAGTTTCAGCTTAAATTCATCTGGCATGTTCTGTTTTGTGGCCTGATGTTCAACACATTTGGGACCTCTGACAAAGCCACTTAGTCTTAGAGAGTTTCAGTTTGGGTTTTTTTTTTTCCCCCTAAAAGTAAGATGAGGTTAGATCTACAAGAATCCTCACCAGGCTATGGTGGCACATGCCTTTAATCCCAGCACTTGGAAGACAGAGGTAGGCAGATCTCTGTGAGTTTGAGGCCAGGTTGATCTACAGAGCAAGTTCCAGGACAGGCTCCAAAGCTACAGAGAAACTGTCTCTAAAAAACCAAGCAAAGAAACAAAGATCCTGAGCATTCTTAGAAAATGAAATTCAAGACATTCAAGTTAATGTGAGTTAACTTGATGAGTTAATGTCAGTCTCCTCGAGGTGCCATCCACTACAGTGCAGGGTGGATGGGTGAAGGTCCCTTTGGGGCCAGTTGCTTCTCATTCTGGTGTTAGATGTTCCTGTAGAGAGGTATTTGCCATTTGTTGGCATTCTCTGTGACTGACAGAACTCTACAATATACTGAGTACACACAAACAGAGAAACCAGAGGAGAGAATGTTTCCCTCAAAACAAAACATGACGGCAACTGGCAAGTGTTCCCTCAGATCCTAACATCACTTTGGTTTTGCAGTCTGGCAAGTTCTCTGGCAGTTCTCCTGCAACACCAAGCCAGCCACAGGGTCTGAGCTATGCTGAGGATGCGGCTGAACATGAGAACATGAAGGCTGTCTTGAAAACATCATCTCCTGCTGTGGAGGATGTCACCCCTGTGCTTGGTGTCCGCACTCGAAGCCGGGCAAGCAGAGGTAACTTCTGGTGGGTGGGGCTTGTCTTTGCAGGTAAGCCACCCCATAAAAATGGTCTGTGAAGATGGTATAGTGGAAGTCATCTTAGGAGGGGGGACTCCAGTATTGAGGCTTTCTAAACATGTTTGTTATTGGTGTGTGTGTGTGTGTGTGGGTATGTGTGTGTGTAGTCAGTTTTATGTTCCCACCTTTATGTGGGTTCTAGGAATGAGCTCAGCTTGTCAAGCTTATGAGATGAGCTCTTTTACCCTTGGAGCTATTTCAGTGACCCAAGCTGTACAACTTTTAAGAGAAACTAGACATCTCCTCTGGACTAGAAGGGACCAAGGTAAAAATTATTGCCAGGTTTGTACTCTGTGGGTTATTTTTATTCACTGATGAAGGAGCCTGGAGAATGTCTTCGTCACTGTTCTACTGTGATGAACACGATGACTTAAGCAGCTCTTAGAAGAGTATTTAATTGAAGGCCTGCATCTAGTTTTCAGAGGGTTAGCCCATGACCATCACTCTGAGAAGCAGACGGGGACTACACTGGAGCAGCAGCTGAGAGCTTTACATCCCAGCCCAAAGACAGCAGTAGACGGGAGAGAAGGGGGAGAGGCCTACTGTGGCCCGGTGCAGAAATGGTGGTTTGCTTTTCAACAGAAACTATGCAAGGTTTAAACAAAACAAAAACAAGGCAGATTAACATCTTCAAACGCTGGAAAAAGCTTCTCCTGTAGCCATTTATCCCGATGGAGATCATCTTTCAGAAGTGAAAACCAACATTCCCTCTATATTAAAACAAACCCCCCATTGGCATGCCTCATCCCTGTAGACTCGGGCTAGATATCTAAAAGGGAAGCATAAATATGTGTTTGCTTTCAAACAGTTCCATAACTTGAGAGATGAAGTGACAATAAAGCGGCACTGTGCTGCCATGGTCTGCACTGCTCTATTCCTCTACGAAATCTAAATGTCTTGGAGCAGTGCAGCGGATCTCCTGGCTCCTTGGCTGTATGAGAGACCATGGAAGTATTTCCCCATATTTCTCCTACATGGGGGTGCAGAGGTCCTAAGGAGAACTTGTGTAGAAGCAGAAAGAGTGTGGCCAGTGGTGACCAGGTAGCAAAGAGAGTGACCAAGAAAAGAGAAGATGAAAAGCAGAAATCGATCCCAGAACACTGCAGAATAGCCCGACAGGGCTGGACTAATGTCAGGGGTTACCTGTAGGCTTCTCCTGGCTGCTACATTAAAAATAGATCACTGGGGACATGTGTATGGGAGATGCTGGCAATTCTCAGAGGGGTGGGTCTCTAAGTTCCTCCATTTCTGCCCAGTGCTCTGAAAGTATGTCAGGATCCAAATGGAATTGATGGAGCTCTCCGTGTGAGGTTTGTGAAGAGTAATTTAGATTTCAAGATAAGACACATTATTATAAACCGGTAGATGAAAGGGAATAAGAAGACTGGTACATGAAAGACAATTTTGCTGTTGATGGCTCTACTCTGAGGACAGCCATTGTCATAGAGACTGAGGTCCAGTCTGAAAGCTGGGTCAATCATGGGACCTCGGGCTTCCCATTACAGCACCCAGACAGAGACACTCAGCAACAACTCTAAAAAGGTGATTTTCAGGGAAGCACCTGTTTTTAAGAATGGTTTATGATGATGGAAGAAATGTGGCCTTCTAATTGGACCAGGCAGGGTCCCCTTAGCTATTAGCAGCAGGCATGGTTAGTCTTTGTGCACATGCAGATGGTGTAGGTATGCCACTGAGAAAGCTAAGCATAGTAGACTTTAAAAGCTAGGTCAACAATTATAACGGCCCTGGCCACTTGAAGACATTGCCCTCAGCCTCTTCCATATTTACAGTAAGATTTCAAGTACACACACTTGCACATGTGCACCCAAAAATATCATAGTTTACTAAACAGTGATCCATTGTTCCCATGTAGTTCAATCAAATTCTAGATCATTAATATCTAGGTGCTTAGAAGCCTCAAAATTTTAAATATAACAATATGAATGAAGAGGTAAAACATATTTATTAGCATATTTAATGTTCATTTTTTAAACATTTTAAAAAATCACTTACCCTCTTTCAGAATTGCAAGCTGGCATTTCTTTGGCTTCAGCTGGGGCTGGGTATTGGTGGCTATGAATTTGAGAGCTCTAACCTACAGGCCTGTGAAACTTCACATCTACTATGAAATAAAGTTTAAAGTATAGAGATGAACAGTATGGGATACACCTACATCTTTCCTTTTGAAGGAGCTCCTCATCATCCCAGAATTTTCACAAAGGCCATGCTCCTAGATGTTGAATTACCATTGGTTTCCAACTGATATTGTTTGGAAACCTGTGCTTTCTTCTTGTCAATAGGCAATGTCTACCTATAGGGAGATTTGAATGGTCTTAATACATAGTTATTTACATTTTCTTGTTAAGGAGCAGACAGATATTTCAAAGACAAACTGTATCAAGCTCCCTCCTACTGACTGGAGAGGGCATCCCCTTCCAGTTTTTTAAGCGGTAATAAAATGTGCATCACAACCCTGCTTGCTTTCTGTTTAAGATGAGGGAAGTTCTGTTAGTGACACTGACTAGCTCCATACAGCTGCTGAGGGGCTAGTTTAGCAATCCCTCAGTGGCTCTCTGTGCATCACTGGATATGTCTTGCTGGGTGTCACTGATGTGCTATATAGGGTCTGACTTAAGTCATTTGCCCCCAGGTGATCATAGGACCTGCAGGTAGCAATGACAGTCACAGGACAAAGGGAGAGAGAGAGATTAACAAGAGACAGAGACACAGAGCCGTGTTGTAGGAAAATACAAAATAAATGTCCCAATTCAGGATTCCACAGCACTGGCAGGATAGCATGCACAGGTGGGGGCAGGCCCGCATCCCATGCATGTCACCAACTCTGAAGCTATCACAGGTCTTTGCGGGGATCCATCTCTGATAGATGTCAGCTACAAAAAAAGCATTTTGCTGCCTTTGTTTCTCTTCTCTGTGAGAACATGACATTCTCTGGCTGTCTAATCTTTCAGGATCCACTGGCTCATGGAATATGGGAACTGATGAGTCACCTAATGTCACGGATGATGCCGCTGATGAGATCATGGACCGTATTGTCAAATCGGCCACCCAGGTACCCAGTCAGCGAGTGGTACCACGGGAAAGGAAGCGTTCCAGGGCCAACCGCAAGTCTTGTGAGTGCATTTCTTTCATTTCTTTTACTTTACTTTTTTTTTTTAAATCTATCTTTTTCACTTATTTTACATACTGACCATAGTCCCCCTCCCTCCTTTGCTCCTGTCCCCTCCCTACCCCTCCCCTCAGCTCCTCCTGTGTCTTCAGTCAGGGAGAGGCAGGCCTCCTATGGGTACCAACAAAGCATGGCACATCAAGTTGAGGCAGGGCCAGCCTCCTCCCCTGCATCAAGGTTGGGGTATGGGTTCCTAAAAGCCAGCTCAAGTGCCAGGGACAGGTCCTGATTCCACTGCTAGGAGCCCCATAAACAGACCAAGCTACACAACTGTCACACACAGTGATATATTTCAATATGACCTGGAAAGTCAGAAACTCCAAAGGAAGCTCCCACTGGCTCCTTAAAGTACCCACCTGCGTGCCTTAGCAATAAGAAAAGAAGCTCCTATCAGTGTCTGCCATTGTGTGTGTGTGGGGGGGGGTGGTGGTGGTGGCTATACAAATGTACTTGCTGTATGTGCTCTAGCCTCTACCAATTAATACCCTATTTCTAGCAAGGTCATTGAAAGCCTCTAGTATATGGAGGTAAGGCTTACTACTCTGCTAGAGGCTGTATTTCTGCTCCTCACCCAGCACCAGAGGCTACTTGCTGGGATATCGGCTGGCTCCTCGCAGGGCTTACCATAGTCTCTGGCAGGTTAATGAGATAAAGCAGGGATAGCAAGTGCATTGATGAACAAGCAGAATGAGTACCAGTTAATGTTCTCCCGAGATGACCAGGATCTCTCTTTTCCTTTCAAACAGGGTTTAACGCAATCAATGTGATTGGCTAGCCTTTCTACCTGAACTGCTCTTGACCCCTCCATTGTACTCCACCGAGTCTCACAGGCACCCCTCTCTGGGGAGAAATGGAACCCCTATGGGTCCTTGGCATCTGCCAGCATTAGCTGCGGCTCACAGTGTTTTAGAAATATTTTCCAGGCTTCAGCCTGCTGCTGGGTCATTCAGGGGACAGCTTGACTATGAGAATAAGGGATGGTGAGGAGGAAAAGGAACCCCCACATAAAAGCAGAGTCATGCCACACGGGCAGAGAACTTAGTAGGAATGCAAATACAGGGTACCCCATTTCTCCAGCCTATGTGATTCACACGGGGTGACTCAGGTATGAGGTGCAATGTTTAGCCTTGTAGTTCTGCTTATCTTAATACAACACTTTTTTTTTCCCTGTAAAGAATGCAAAAACAAATTCCTTCAGCCCATCATACCTTGCTTTTTTTCATATGATTAGTGTCTGTTGGAAACCTTTTGTAGAAAGGAAAGTAACACTAGGGGCAGGGTGAATGTTGCAATTTTGCTGAAGATGGACAGGCTAAGAGATGGTTTATGGCAAGCTGCTAGGTGAAGATGCTCCTGCTGGCCTTTGGCACTTATGTTGAATATCAAGGCTCTGGAGCTGTGGTTAGAGTGTTAGAGTGTTTTACCAAGACCTAAAATTCTAGGTGCCTTTGCTCATCCAGACCAATGACTTAGGGCCTCTTAGTCCCTGCCCCTTAGAGTATTAGTTATACTGGAGGATAGTTCTGGCTGACCCGGAACTCACTGTGTAGGTCAAGCTATCTATGAATTCACAGATATCTTTTGGTCTCTGCTTCCCAAGTGCTGAGTTTAAGGTATGCACACAATCCCTGGCTTTTCTCCAGGTTTTGATGAAAGACAATCATTACTTATCCTGTCATTTTTTTTTTTCAAGACAGGGTTTCTCTGTATTGTTTTGGAGCCTGACCTGGCACTCTCTCTGTAGAGCAGGCTGGCCTTGAACTCACATAGATCTGCCTGCCTCTACCTCCTGAGTGCTGGGGTTAAAGCCAGCACCACTAACTCCTAGCTTGTTCTGTAATTTTTACATCTTCAAGAATACATTTGGTTTGTGGCTTTCAACAACTAAAGAAGGCCTTCACATTTAGTTTTGTTGCTAGTTTGCTCCCACCTCAATGTGGCGGTGGCTTCTTGGCTTGTGTCCTGGGACACCTAAGAACTTGGTCAGAGACTTGTTCCTTAAACTTAGGCTTTAACGATATGGTCATCTCAGCAGGCAGGGGAGGCTACATTCCTATTTTAAAGAGATGACAAAGGAAAGCCAAGCTTTCCAAGACAAAACAAAACAAAAACAACTTGGAAAAAAATCTATGTGAAGTTCAGTGATTTATATAGACCTCAGTATGAAACAGTGCTGTGTTTAATTACTTTATTATAGTGATAAGGTGAATAGATATAGTCAAGATGTATGGGGTATATTGTTCGCTTTGAGAGTGCTGGGATTAAAGGTATGGGCTACTACGGCCTGGCTTCTTTAATCTATTTTTAAAAGAAAAGTAGACTTGTCTCACAACATGTTAGATGTAGCCCTGAACCATAATCAGTGCACAACATAGTTCATTTAGCTTTTCTTTTCCAAGATGGTATTTGAAATATATGGTTTTTTTTTAAATGACTCACAATGAGAAAAAAATATTTTTCCTTATTCTAAGCCAACTATATGTACTTGTATAGAATATATTAACACTAGGCCTGAGGCTTTAAATTACTGCTCTTGTGGGGAAAAAAAAAAAAAAAACAGATGTTACAAGAAAGGACTAGAATTTCTTGGTCAAACCTTTAGAGTTCATGGACTAACTCCTCTTCTAAAGACAACTGAGGGCACCTACCTCAGCAGTGTGCCCAGATGAACAGTCACCACCTCTCAAAGGGCAAGGCTGGACCAGCAGCTAAGATTATGATGATGGAAAGAAATCTGGGTTCAGCTGGAAGCCTTGGTCAAAGAGGTGGTTAGAGGGAGACTTGGAGACATTCCACTTCACTGGATAGCTGTTTGTTTCATAGTAATGAGTTACACTTCCAGATGGGAAGCTGGCATACAGAAAGAGTACACTGGCTTTCTAGTCTTTCACCATGTCTGTGACATGGTGGCCCATGTCATATCCATGTGGCCCAGAGTGGACGGAATGGAGGGAATGTTGAGGAAAACAGCCTGGAACTTCCAGATCCTTTGCTATACACTAAATGAGCTTTTGTCCAGGGGAGGGGTAAGCATCGACCTTAAGGGCTGCTGCCAACAGACCTGGCTTTTTGGAGAAGACATGACGGGACCTGGGTAGGTCTGGACTAAGGAATGGAAAGATGCAAGGGGCTGGCCTTATTTTTTTCTACACTGATTAGTAAATTGTTCTGATCAACTGAGGAAATGGTTAACTTGTGATTAGGATAAGGAGATAGTTCTATACATTCTAAAAACAATACATATCTCCATTGTTTTATAAGCTCCAAATAACTAGAGTGGGCCAAATATAATTTGTAACTTCGGGGAAATGTAGTGAACCCTTAAATGACAGGCTTTCTTAAGCAGAGACAGTTGCTACTTCATTCACCCTTATACAGTCTTCATTTTCCCATCAAAACAGATGACAAACAATAGGAGATGTGTTTTGCCAAGCCATACATGAGCCTATTCCATGTGAAATCCATCCTCCAGTGACCAATGATGCCCTATGATATATACAAAGCATCTACTAAATTCTCCCACAAACTGGGTGGTTTGCTCCTTGTCATCTATTTACAAAAAGATCACTAATTATTTAAATCACTGTCCCTAAAGGGAGGTCCTTTCAAGTTGAGACTGAGACCCACATCACTCACAGAGACTCTTTGCAACCATCGCCCCTTGCCCTGGGCTCTGCCTAACTCTCGGCTGCACAGGGTCCCAGGTTCTTGGTTACACCCCCAACTTTGTATTTCCTTCCGCAGTTTTGCATTTGGGAGTTTGCTGACCCCTCACTATGTGCTGTTTACTTCAGGTTTCCCATGTTACGACTCTTTCAGCTCTGTTACATTCTATTCTAGGAAGACACTGAGCTTCCCACATACCACCTACACTTTCTGAAGTCTGCATCCATTTTTCAGAAACCCTATGAGAACACCCCTCTCCTCCTTGCAGCCCAGTCATCCCATGGTCTCTCCCAGGATACTCAGCAAGAGGAGAGTGGCTCTGGGCTATCCTGGATTCTTGGGAATGTGGGTATTGTTACACTGAATACCAGGTGTCTCTTGCTAATACCCCCTTCTCTTTTTGTCTTTTTGTTTGTGACCTGTGGGGACCACTACACAGTACGAAGGACCTTGAAGAGTGGCCTGACTCCAGAAGAAGCCAGAGCCCTGGGCCTGGTTGGCACATCTGAACTGCAGCTGTGACTTTCTTTAGGCCCTCAGAAGTATGCTGAGCAGAGAACCCACTCTGGCTAGACCCGCCCCTCTCAGCAGGGGTAGGGAGACTGACTTGAACATCTGATGGTTCTGAACTGAGAGCTCATTTCTGGGTGTTACACTGCTTGGGTCATCGCTGAGCATCAACGTGGATCTCCAGGAATCTCCTGCATGTACTTTCTTTATCAAGTCAGCGTGTTTTTCTTGTTACCTTGATACCTGGTTTATTAGTTCTAAGTGTGACACCTTTTCTAGGAAGCAACAGTCCTTGTAAGGAACAAATCACTCCTGTCACAGTTGTTATGATAACACGAGGCCATGTGATTAGACTCAGAAACAGAGTCTCCTCAACAACAAAAAGTCCATATATAAATGCCAATGTTGGACACAAAAGCAAGCACAGATTGTCTACCAGTTGTGGATTTTAGATGTACTAAATGTTTATATAAACTCATAAATGTACACCATGTTTCAACTACTAAATAAACAGAGTTTAATGTCATCACAAGAAACTCATTCTCATAGATGGAGGATCTTAAATAGCTGTGCAGGCTCACATCCTTCCTAGTCAGCAAGGACTCTATTTGGCATTCTCTTCACATCCTTTGGGTTGTATTTTGTTGACTGAGTGGCCCCAATAACATGCTCTTTGACATTCTGGTTTAATTAGGCATTCCCCAGCCCCCACTTGCTTCAGGGAACATTAGCTGTTGTTAGCCTTGTTTAGCTTTACCTTACCCATGAGGCTTGCTGTGTGTGAGGCTAAAACAGAGATGAGAGTAGCTTACTACACAGCTCAACTATTCTGGAACCAACATATTTGCCTTTTATATAAAAGTTCATTGTCTCAGAAAATTTGCTAATCACTTAGATGATGTAGAACTCAAAGTGCTGTCTTCAGAGAATGCTATGGTTTTTACATTCATTTGTCTCAAGTACAAGTGGTCAAGACTTACAGTGTTCAAGACAGGATTAATTCAGGGATCCTAGCTGTTTCAGAGTGACACCAGGGCTGGCAGGTGACTCAAAAGTGACTGATTTCCATAGAAGCTCTTGCGCTGGCCAGGTCTCCCCATGAAAAAACTATCTCCCAGGCCAGGAAAAGGTAAACCATTTACAGTAGCTGCTTTCAGCAGCTGGATAAATGTTCCATTTTCCAAAACTTTTGTGCTTCTGTATCTGGAATGGTGATTTATAGATAACACTCAGCAGATGTTATCTATAAAAAGATGACATTCCGTACCTACCCTTTTGACTGTGACCTCCCTAACCTGTGCTAGAGATCACTCTTTCAAGCAGGCATTTGGGAGAGGCTACCTGATGGATGTGAGTACTGTATGCGAGCCTAGGAATGTCAGTGGGGTTTGTAGATTACAGACTAGGGAATTGATTTAATCACCCCTTGACATTACAGTCATTTCCCTTTTGTATGTGAATTATTTTGAATGTGGTTTACTGGCTTTGAGGCCACTGGCTTATTGCCCCAGCACTGAACTCAGGCATGGGTTATCTATCACAGAGAACAGAGATGTATAAACACAGGAAGCTGCATGGTTGTCATGCTGCTTGGTGAATGGCTAGTTCAGTGCCCTCTGGGAAGCCCCTAATGTTCTGCTGAATGCTGTTGCATTAGCATAGGTCACATTCAGTGACTGGGAAAAAAATAATGTTAAGTTTAGGGATCAAAAGCTTCTGAGAAGCAAGTGAGGTTAACTAGCCTCTCCCTTTGCAGCCAGGCAAGGAGAGTCTTTTATTCAGAGCTTCATTTTGAATATACTCAGTGCAGTATGGGATAACATAGCAGGGCAGAGATGCCCATGAAGTCTGTGGAAGGGACTCACCTAGTGTACTGAAAGCTACTGGTATCTTTATCTGTCTTCCTTACCCTCCTCAAGATGTGACTAAGGTGTTTTAGAATGTGGACTGGACTTGAGAACATTTAAAAGATCATCTCATTTCCACCCCTATTGCTAATGTGAAGATGACTTTGAAAGTTACTGAGTTACAAGGAATTTTATTTAGTGTGTGTATATGTATGTGTGTTATATTCCTGTGTGTACTGTGTATGGAGAGTAGAGGATGTTGTGAGTTACTTCCTCCATTATTTTATGTTGTTGTTATTATTACCATTAACCTTCTGGATAGCTTTTTCATTGAACCTAGACTTGCTGGCCAGTTAGCTCCAGGACCTGCCTGTCTCCAGCCTGCCCCAGTGCTGGGGTTCTGTTGGTAAACAGCTAAGTCTGGCTTTTATGTGGGTGCTGGGGATCCAAACTCAGCATGTTTGTATAGCGCTTTGCTCACTGAGCCATTGCCCCAGGCCCACAAGGATTTTTTTTTTCTTTCTTTATGTGAGAATTAGATAAAAGCAAATATAATTCCCCCCCCAAAGAACTGGTTCATCACCACTGACAACCTAAAAGCAGAAAAATGGCTGAGTTTGTTTGTTCAGGAATAGCAGGGAAGTTGCAATCCAGGGCATGTTCTATAGTGAACTACGGTACACTGCTAGGTATACATGAAGGCTAGACAAAGGGAAGGTTTTAGACAAAAGAAATATGCGAGTTGCAGGGGCTTCCTCTAGGGGGTGACATCAGCTCAGCAGTGGAAAATGTTAGGTCAATGTCCTTGCTCAAGGGGCTAGCTGTCTTCTTATGACTCACTACTGTCCCTGTGGGCTAGTTGTCCTTGTGTGACCTAGGTAGTAAGCTGAAGCTGTGGTGTGTGTGTGTGTGTGTGTTTGTGTGTTTGTGTGTGTGCGCGCGCGCATGCATGCATGCACCCTCCCCTATGTGTACATCCTGTGATCCATTTCATTTAGGAATAGATATATTTTGTATTGATAACTTTCACACTAGAAAGGAACCAACTAATTAGGACATGTTTGAACAAAGCTTTCTTCACCCTGTGCCCAGTGAACTATGCTTGGTCTTTCCTGCCCTGAAAACCAGAAGAAATATACAAGATTCTCACTGTCCCATAACATGGAAGAAACAAGATAGTGACACAAGAGGTATGCTCTCGAATTTTCTTTCTTTCTTTTTCTTTTTTTTTTCTTTTTCTTTTTTTTTTTTACCCACAGATGCTTGTTGACGGAGGGTTAGTGCAGACACGTTGCAGGAGGTACTTGTTGGGAAGTGTCAAAGTGTCGCTAAAATATGGCAGTAAGAGTCCTTCCAAGCCTTCCTTTCAGGATAGCTCTAGAACACTGTTCTGCGTCATTTCTTTTCCTGTTGGATTGTTTAAATCTACTGATGAAACAGATATATCAAAAGGCTCAGAAGAGAGAGCCTCAATGAAAAAAGATTCTGTACCTTTAAGCCTAGTAGTCATTACCTTTTAGTCATACTGGAGGATTGTTATTTTGTCTTGTTGCCACTTTACAATGTGTCTGCCTCTGGTGGGCAGTTTTTAAAGCACGTGTGTGCGCGCATGTGTGTGTGTATATATCATCAGAAACCAAAAGAGGCATAAGATCCTCTGGAATAGGAGTTATAGCTCGATGTGAGCTGCCTGATACAGGTGGTAGGAACTGAACTCTGGTCCTCTGTAAGAGCAGTCTGAGCCATTTCTCTAGGCTCTGTATTGAATTTCTCTATAAGACCTTTGTGACCTATTAAAGAGTGTGGTGCCTTATCTGTGTAAGGTGTCATTGCTAATTTTACAGGTCATTACCATAGATACTCTTGTACCCCATAAATACTGGCAAGTGATGAAAGACAAACATTATTTTGTTGAATATAACTAATTTTTTTTAGAACCTTAAGGAGTTTTTGCTTAATAGGTAACTTATTCAAAGGGAATTGGGGATGAAGGAGACTGTGCATAGGGCCTGGGAAGGCTGAAGACTTTCCAAAGTCATTGTTGAACACAATGCAGGGATGAAGAGCAGGGGCACTTGTAGCAGCTTAGTTTTCTAGCTCTTAAGTAAGTGGCTTCAGGATAATGCGTGGCTCTCAAAGCAAAAATTTATATTCATGGCCCCTTGAGGTGGTGTAGTAGCAGAGACGACGATGGCACATTGATGAATGGCACCCGTGGAGCCTCAGGTTTGAATCTCGGGTCCCTAAAATCCCCTTCTAAGGGAGACCATGCAGTGTCTAGGTATGCCTCAGATGCAATCACAAATACCCTTAGAAAGGACAGCCCGAAGAGATTTGAGAAACATGCAAGAGAAGCAAGAACTGAAGTGACGTGGATCAAGCTAACATACGCTGCAGGAAGCAAGGACAGCTTCTCAGGGCAGCCTCCCAACTATAGCCCCAGGGATCCCTGCAGTTTGGCCCTATGGAACTGATAGTCAGCTTTTGGATTTCAGAAATACACGAGAGTAAATTTATGTTCTATTAAGCCATCAAGTTTCTCATAACTTGTTATGACAGTCTTAAAAAAACAGGGTATGACTATACAAATATGCACTGAGACCCAGATTTGTAGGTAACTGTGTGCCAGGGCTGGGTAATCAGTTGGGAAAGGGAGAAACAGGGTCCTTCCCCTTAGGAGGCATAACAGAAGCTGTGGGAGGCTGTCATCAAATTAAATCTCAGTTATCCACTATTCTTTAGCCATTTCTAGTTTTGATTAGAAATCATTTTATCTGAGACATAACTACACCACAAACGTACCAAATTGCTTAAGGAATGAAATGTCTTTTTCAATTTTAAAAGAAAGCTAATGGCTTTGAAATAGACAGTGAAGATATGTATTAAAATAGATCGTCAGTTTTGTCAAAAAAGTCATCTGTTAGAGCAATTGGTTCTGTTGGTTAGGTAATTCATGGAGAGAAAATGGACTTTCTGAATGCTTCTTAAAAAGCTGTTGCTTATTGAAACCACTCCATGTGAGTACTCAATTTGCATTATTTAATAGAGTTTTACAGCCCGTCCATCAATTTCCATCTTACATCTGAAGAAATGGAGCATCAATGATGTTGAAGAATGTTTCCTAGACACAGGATAAGATGTGGCACATCCCAGCATGTCTCATAATTTACTTTTTGGTTCTTTTAGAGCCTTATCAAGATAGCTGTTGGTGGTATACCCAGTCAGCTAGGCTTCTGGGTACAAAATATGTGGTGCAGAAAAGACCAGGGACACTCATGGCTTCATGTGTAATGTATTTCATTATGGCAGGATTTTCTGACATAGTCCATAAGCTGAACTAAGGGTATTCAGACTCTAAAATAAGGTGGTTACTGTCTCCTCAATTTTTAAAGTTAGGCATTTTCATAGCTTTTCCTCATTCTTAGTTGTCCTAAAATATGACACATTTGACTTAATGCAAACTTATGTATAGCCAACTTTAAAATTTATATATTAATAGTTCATAGGACTCCATGATTAGGATGGCTTTCCAATCCCTCCACCCCTTCTCAAAATCCACTGGAACCACAGAGATGAGGTAAGATGACCCAAAGTTCATTGACTGATACTCTCCTTCAGTGAGCTGTGGCTTCATGGAGCTCTGGCTAGAGGCACACCGGAGATGAATCTACAGGTATAA